TACTGCCTTTACCCAAAGAAAGCGTTTTATCATCAAATGAAACTACATAATAATATTTTATGTACAGGAATTGGAGGACTTTGATATTAATAACMGTTGCACCACCAATTGCATCACTGTTTTTGGCATTCTTGGTTAGTGAGTCTCCAAGATGGCTGCTCACAGTTGGTCGTGTATCAGAGGCTGAAGAAATCATCAATGAGGCAGCCAGGGTAAATGGTTTACCCAATGCTAAAATAACCCTGACGTCCATTGTCTCCAGTGGGAGAAAAGTTACAGTAAAAACCTCTGGGCATTCCATTCTATCTATTTTTACCAAAAGATCTTTGCGCACTATTACAATGGTAATGATGGTTTCATTCATGGCAAGTGGTATTGGTTACTTTGGGTTGTCATTGAATGTTAGAAATCTTGGTGGTAGTGTCTACTGGAATTTTGCACTATTTGGAATAGTAGAAATACCATCATATATTATGGCAGCACCTATACTTGAAGCACTTGGCAGACGCAAGACCAACTTTTTATTAACATTATCAGGAGGTATTGCATGTTTGATTTGTATGCAATTACAACAAACCCAATATGACAGCCCATCACTGGTAAACGCAATAGCTTTGCTTGGAAAGTTTTGTGTGTCCGCTGCCAATGCATTAATCTACATTTATGCTGCAGAATTGTTTCCAACTGTCATTCGTAATATGGCAATAGGGGTGTTTGCTGTGTGCATTAGATTGGGAGCCATTACAGCTCCATTCATTGTATTACTTGGAAATGAAAACAAATCAATCCCAATGCAGGTTTTCTCATGTATAACATTATTAGCAGCTTTTCTTGGATTAAAGTTGCCTGAGACTAGTGGAAGACCGTTACCTCAAACATTTGAAGATCTACATGCGGACTGTATCAATAAATAATAATATCTCTTTCTACATATCTTTGATAGCAGTGCAACCTGGAGTACTTTGCCTACCAGAAACTATTTCCCCAAAGTCTTGAAATGTCTTTGATTCTTTTGTGCAAAATTATTAGTCAACTGAAATATCAAATGTTGACCAATGATTTAGAACATTTTATTTAGGTTTATTAGTGTAATATCTATTTCACAGGTTTTCTTACTTCACTCTAACACTTTCACAGCTTTCAACTGCTTCAAATGTTTATCATTTTAATGGATTGGGTTGGGAAGGAATATCATCTTCAAGGGATTCACCAAAGTGATGTTTTCAAAGAGATATTTGTACTGATGGATCTCAGCTCCAATCCCTCCCATCTAATCAACTCTTCTTTAATGTAGGAAAACAAGAAAAAGGAGTCATTAATTTTTGAAAAAAATACATGCTATGTCCGAAATTAAATCAGTTTTGAATTATTGGAAATACYAAAGGATTATGAAATTGTTGAATTAAAAAATACAATAATTCAAGCATATGATGTTTGTATAAATATCTTTTTAAATATTAACATGTGCATTTTAAGCAACATTATAGACCAATGTAGAATATTTTAGATTCCATAAGTTGTTGTTTACTAATGTCTCTATATGCTGTGCCTTAATAGCTTCTTTTATGGCCTGCATTGTAAATTCCAAAACATGGATAAAAGCATATTATACATATCAGTTTAGTATRTATGAAAATAAGTAAAGGTCTCGTGTAATCAGACTGTACATGTTTATATACCAAATTAATTTAGTATGTATAGCTTGAAAGTAGGAGTGATGGTCTTAATCTGACTGTACATTAAAACCTAACACGAACAATATTTCTAATTATTATAAAGTGTCTTTTCTGAGTATAGTTTTGGTATAAAATATATTTTGTWGTTTTTTCTTAATTATTCGACAGCTCATGACCTTTCTGTAAATATATGTAGCTATGTAAGTAGTTTCTTTAGGAATAGATGCAGTTTCAATATTCCAAAATTTCTATAGTTTTGAATTTGTGAGTTTTAAATACTGTTTTTGCCTCTAGTCCTCCTTGTTCGAAGAGGACACTCCTTTCGTCTTGATTTAGGTTTCATTATTTTGTTGGTATATGGTTGTTCTAGATTGTTTTCWACTTCTTTCAGAGGTTGTCTCGCAACTGGGATGTACACATCATTAGCACTGTCAATCATGTTGCCTATGGCAATTGGTGGTTCAATGTCCATATCCTCTTCATTGTCATTGAAAAATGCTTTCTGTCTAAAAATACTAGGTGTGGAAGTTGATCTTGAGTGTTCATCTGAAATGAAAGAYGCATGCCCTTGTTGTCTGTTAAGCATGCTGTCTTTCTCTACAAATTCACTTTCATCTGTGGTTTCATCCATCATCTGTTCACCTTCATCCTCTAGGTCACCATCATAACCACTCTCAGAGAGGCACCCAAAACTGACATCTAATAGACTGTCACTAGAAGTCTTAAGCTTGAGGTTTTGTTGCTCCAGGCGAATGCARAGAGGAACAATAAGGCTTAAAAGTTCATCACGACTTGGAATCTGCAGGTAAAAAGAATACTTTATCAAAAATATAGTGTTTACTATTATTAAATGCATTTATAAAACTTATTAATAATGCATAAGCTATTGCTCCAATAAGGGCTGACCATTTAATCAGGTGATTGACCTTGTAAATCTGATACAACCACTAGTGGTCGAATCAGATTTACAACACGGTCGTCACCATTGAGACAACCCAACACTAGCAAAGGTCTCAGTTTTAGTGTCGCATCATAGACCTTCACTAGGTTTTGAAGCAATCAAAGACGGATAACAGAACTCGCTTATGCAACAGATGGCTTGCTTTCCATGTGGGATGGATAATTATTCAAAATGTTCTGTGTTGCAGTAAATTGCGCATGCTTAATAGGGACTAAACTCAGCAGTTACCTTATTTGTCATTTTTCGTCATTTATCTCACTGTAATTCATGTTAATTTGTGTTGGAGTTTTATAAGTCGTTTACAACATTCGCGTCCGTGTTGTATGGGAATTACAATCTCTCGCCTGCGGCTCGAGATTGTAATTCCCATACAACACGGCCGCTCATGTTGTAAACTATACTTA